AATATGTGTGTGACTACCCTTGTTGAATGAGGACCTACATATGTTCTAGAGTAGTACTTGTTAATTGCGATTAACATGTGAACCAAATTCTAGGATAAGTAAGACAATGCTAGTACTTACGATACCTTGTGATGACTCAAAATCTTTTCGTTCTTAATGATTTGTACTTGTTAAATTTATGAACATGCCATTCTAGATTGCATGCTAGGGACTAAGTTAAGTTGAAAACGTCATTCTCTTAACATACTACATAAGAAAGAGTAATAGGTTGAGTTCTAACATTGAGCCAACTTGAGCACCTTCATCCGGAAATAAAAGGAATTTGAATGAAACATAACATGTTTGCATGATTATTTGGTGGTAGATAGCAATTCCCCTAACTCGTTTTCTTAACTTGTGAACTACAATCTATTTTTACTACTTAAAATATGTTTCTGTCTTGTTTTTGTTCAAGACCTCTATGTGTCTAGTGTGTTCATATAAAATTTCGTAGACTTTAGATAAGTGTAAGTTGGTCTAATAATTATTTTTCAGTGGCTGGTTAGTAGGGACAGCAGCCCAGTTTTTGTGACATTTTAAGTAGTTAGATAAAACTATCTTTTGCGTGAAAGACCCTTATTTCATATGCTACAAATGACAAATCTTATTGTTAATAAGAAAAATCAATAGGACATTTGTGTGCTACTTTGTGGTGTGCTTTTAATCCTATCATCCCATTATCAATAAAGTCACAAACTTTAGCTTCCCAATTAATATTCTAATGTTGATTAATTGGAATGAGGTGGACAAAAGGATAAGGAAAACCCAAAGATGGGTCCAAAAAAAGATGTCCCTACCATTACTGACACACCCCGACCTTGAATGTCCACTAAGACTCTGAATCAAGCTGTGTTGGCTGACATTTGGAAGGTGACAAAGTCATAAAGTATAGTGATGTGGAAAATGTGATTAAATTTAAACCTAAAAGTGCCTAAAGACAAGAGTGCACTGTAAGCGGGAATGAACCAATTTCACACGCGATGTCAGAGCATAAGTAAAGTATAGTAGTGTGGGTAATGATCATACCCTCGAAGGTAGCCATCTATACTGAGATTCGCCATGAATCCTCGTTGATACGAACTTTCAGCAGCTAAAACCTGGAGGGGCACAAAACAAGGGTGAGTGGGCCTAAAAATAAAGTTTTTAATAAAAACCTTTTGAAAATGTTATAACCCCTCATCGTAAAACCCGTATAATTTCCCAGAAAATAATAATACATACGTATATAGAAATCATGATCGAGAGTAGTGAAAACCAAGTATATGCCATGTCAAGTATCTCAGTAATGAAATAAGTAAGTCAAGTGAAATAAATCAATGTAAAATGATATGCCAGCCGAGGTCACCTAACGTGATCTGTACGGCTAAACCTATAGCTCATTAACCAATTCTTGCACACGAGTCAGAACCACCTAATGTGGTCTGTACGACAATCTAGGTGTAGATAATTACGCTAAATGCTACGATCACGTGAAGGCTGTGCGAAATATCACAAGTCACTTACAAGTCGGAACCACCTAATGTGGTCTGTACGACAGGCTGGCACCTTCCTTGGATCCAAGGTAAGCGTGCGGTGTGGGAAGTGAATGATCACGTGAAGGTTGGCCCTGGCCTCGGGCGGAGCACTAACACCGGGGTGCAGGATAATGAGCACTAAATGCATCTAAACATAACCATGCACACTGTAATCACCATCATCAATATGTACTTACCTGAAGCTTACCTGGGCGTCCACAACATTATGCAATAATATACATATCTATACCAATGCATATACTAAATGTAATGCAATTGACATGGCATTTAAGAAACGTAAATCCATTTAAAACAATTTCTGGGAAAATAGAAAACATATATACGTATATATAGAAAACCAAAAGCCCACTCACCTGGAGACCGCACTACAACTCCCTAGCACAAACATCAAGGCGACACGAATGATCGGCGCCTAGAACAATTATCAAATCTTATCTTAGAATTCTTATCAATAGAATACATAACTTGCATATCCTATTTGGGAAGATCCGTATGTTGGATTCCCAATCCGTAAGTTTCTAATATCCTCAAATCTTATGTACTATATCGTATCAAGATTTGGTGACGATCCAACAGTCGGATCGTCGATTCATATAATTATCAAGTAACGCACATTATTCAAACTAGGTTCACAATATTCAAATCACATCATATGGTTATCAAATCTAAGATTAGGATATCAATTTAGTGTAAAATAGCATCACCGGCCTATTGGCCACGCATCGCCGCAGGTGGCAGTCGGCCGTCCCGACTCGCCGGAAACTTCAACTATTTCTAAAAATTACCAAATTTCACAAGAATGAAGATCTCAATGAGTGGAGCAACTTTCATACTTATAACTAAGGCCAATTTGTCCGGGAAATGTCTCAATTTCGTCCAAAACCGTTGGAAACCCTATAAAGGGTGCTTTTTGATTCATCCTCATATCGACTCCAACGCTCCAAAAAATGATTGGGCATTGTTTCTGGACTCAAGAGAAGTATGTTGATGGTGGAAATTGCACGAAATCATTTCACGAATGGCGGATTCACAGCCGTGGGTGCCCTCGAAGCCGATGGCTTCGATCTTCATGAATCAAGGTCCAATTCCTTCGATTTTGGAATGAAACGTGAAGAAGGAAGGTTGAAAAGTTAGTTCTAGATGGTGGATAGCCACAATTTGTCGGAAAAACTGAAGAAAACATAAAAGAATCGTCGGAATTAGCTCGGGTCAAAACTGGGTCGCGCGGGTTGACTGGGTGTAACCAAGTCAAGGGTGATCCGGTGCATCCCCTTTCTCTCCTTTCCCCTCCTTTCTTCTCTCCCCCATTGGTCACTTCCTTTTCATTCTCTTCCTCATTAGCCGGTTCCCCCTCCTTTCCCTTCTTTATATTTCATCTCCATCGCCCAACTTTTTTCTTTAAATATGGGCCACACTTGTGGCTGTCTAGATTAAGCACCAAAAATCTGGAGCTTTCTAGAAAATAGCCAATTTACTAAAATACCCCCGACTTTAAACGTTAATATCTCATTCGTTATAACTCCAAATCACAATCCGTTTGCGCCCACACGTCCGTAGCAACGAGTACTACGAGGATACGCCAAGAAAATGAATCTTCCATAACTCAAAAAAGTAGTCAACAAAAGTCAACGTATTTGCCTTGAAGGGTATTTTTTGTAAATTCACTTTATAAAATCGTAATAATTGGGGACGAGTCGTTATAATTACCCACCACCCATCTCAGTCCCATGTGGATAGCATGTCTACTATTTAAAATTCCTTTCTAGGCTATAGAATAGTTTTGTCTAACCTTACAACTTAAAAAATCATTATTTCTTAAGTATTTCCTTCTAACCACTTGCGCCCACCAACCACTTGCGCCCACCAATTGTCCTCATTGTTTAGAACTTTCCAATCTAACTTAGCCAGACAAGCATTATTGAAATGATCCACCCTAATAATTCCTAACCCCCTTGGTCTTTAGCCATGCAAACTTTATCCCAAGCTAAAGGATAAAGTTTCCTATCTCTTCCCCAAAAGAAATCCCTACATTCCTTTTTTAAATTCAAATGTTACACGAGTGGGACACTTAAAGCAAGACATGATATGGTTAGGCATACCAGTTAGATTAGACTTAATAAGAGTTAATCTACCTGCTTTAGAAAGAGTATTCGCCTTCCACCCCGCTAACTTTTGTTTCACCCTTCTTAATAATTCTTGTTCATTAACTGGATATCTCCAGAACACAATGTTATGAATACCCAGGTACTTACCAATTGTTGACAATTGCATTTCTAGTTTGAGCACTAGTATTGTTTGAAAAGTATAATAAGAGTTAATCTACCTGCTTCAGAAAGAGTATTCGCCTTCCACCCCGCTAACTTTTGTTTTAGTCTTCTTAATAATTCTTGTTCTTTAACTGGATATTTCCAGAACACAATGTTATGAATACCTAGGTACTTACCAATTGTTGACAATTGCATTCCTAGTTTGAGCACTAGTATTGTTTGAAAAGTATAAAAATGATTTATGAAAAGTTACCTACTGACCAGATGCTTTAGCAAACATATTCAGAATTTGGAGGACATTCTGCGCACCCTTAGTAGTTGCTTTGGCAAACAAAAGACAGTTATTTGCAAACACTAGATTAGAAATTCTAAATCCCCTAGGAGAGGATAAAATACCAAATATGAGACTTAGGGTTATTGGCCATATTATTAAAATGTCTAATTACAGGTTCCATGTAAAGAATAAAAATATAAGGCGACACAGGTCCCCTTGCCTAATCCTCCATTTCAGGTAGAAATAACCAAATAACCATGGGTAGAACCATTTATTAAAACCGAGAATGAAGAGGACTTAATGCATTCCATAACTAAGTTTACCCACCTTACCGCAAAACCAAATCTCAAAAGCACATACTCAATATAATCACAATTAAGAAAATCATAGGCCTTTTCAAGATCTAATTTAATTCCCATTGCTCCAATCCTTCCTTTTCTTTTTTTTTTGGCAGTTAGATATGCACAAATCGAGCAAATGTCTTAACCTTTTGATAATGATTTTTTGTAATAATTTGTGTAGACGTGAGTCAAAGTCTAGACGGAAAAAAAGGGAATGTAAATAGGGTAAATACTAGGAGTCCTTTATTAGGAAGGAAGGGTTTTGTATATATCCTGTTTTTATTTGTTTCCTTGATAGCTACGGATTATATATGTATTTAGTTATGAAGAAGTTATAATATACAAGAAATTCCCGTACCATTCTTTTTGGCATCAGAGCCTTGTAACCCTAGAAACTACCGCTGCTGTGTTTGTTTGACGTGGTGGACGTGTCGCAGCACCTCTGCTGTCGTGATTTGTGGAAGAATTGCAACGCCTGTTTGGTTGGTTGCTGCCGTGAGTAATATCTTCCAATTGTCGGTGCCCTTTCGGTGTGTAAGTCGAGATGGCTGAAGGTGATTCAATCTTGAAGTTGGAGGGTGGTTCCCGTAAACCACTTAACAATCAGGTATTGAGTCCCGTTGTTATTCAGAACGATGCATCTGCTGTGCCAAACACTGTGAAGTTGAATGGATCCAATTACCCTATTTGGTCCAAGGTATTGGAGATGTATATTGCTAGACGTGGTCGAAAAGGCTTTGTGACAGGAAGTACCAAGGAACCTGTTGAGGACAGTATTGAGTATGAGACGTGGGAGACCGGGAATGCCATAGTAAAAGGGTGGTTGATTAATTCCATGGAACCTGCTATCATGGGATTTTTTATTCACCTGCGTCCTACTAAAGAAGTCTGGGAGGAGGTGGCTCGGACTTATTATGATGGTTCAGATATTTCTCAAATTTATGAACTGAAGGTTAAGTCGTTCAGGCTTCGTCAAGAGGGCCAGCCGGTTGGTGTGTATTATGCTGACCTCAAGTCCGTTTGGCAGGAGCTGGATCAACGGAGACCAATTAAGATGGAATGTGCTGCTGATCTTAAGACACTTCGAGAAGAAATTCAAATTGATCGTGTGTACGCTTTTTTGGCGGGCTTGGATGATATTTTTGATAAAGTACGTAGCAATATTCTACGTACTCAACCGTTACCATCTGTCGAGGAAGTTTTTTCAGTTGTTAGGTGTGAAGCACAACGACATGCCACCATGATGGGTGGGAATAACAACCAAGGGGGACCGTCCATGGCCATGGTCTTTCAGCCACCTGCAACTTCCCGTCCTAACAATTATTCTAATCATTCTTTCAATTCTCGTCCCTTTACCTGAGAAAACAAAGATGATTTGAAGTGCACTTTCTGTGGTCAAACTCGCCATACTGAAGATACATGCTTTACCAAGCATGGTGTACCTAATTGGTTTCCATAACTTAAGAAGAAATTGCGGGCAAAGGACCGTGGAACAGTCGGATCCAATGGAGGCCGTGCCTCTCTTGCAGCGGCTACACCAACTGCTCAAAAGGTCAGGGCTAGCTCTGGGGATCCTAGTCACACTTTGTTAACTCGTGCTACTCCTGGTGATTCATCCTCCAATACAGGTATTGTGGGGCGTGTTCTCTTAGCCTCCGAAAGTGATCCACATACAGGTTGGATTCTTGATTCTGGTGCAACCGATCATATGACGTATGATAAAACTTTGTTTCAATATATGACAATGTCTCACAGGAAAAGCATAGCGACTGCTAATGGGACTCTTGTCCCCGTGTATGGCGCTGGCACTGTGCACCTCTCCCCATTTCTCCCTTTACATCGTTGCTTATTTGTTCCATCATTGTCCCATCACTTATTATCAATACCACAAGTCACTGAACAATTGGATTGTGTTGTTCTAATGTATCCGTCCTTTTGTCTACTTCAGGATATTCAGACCAAGGAGATAATTGGGCGTGGCACTAAGAGAGAGGGGTTGTACTATGTTGATGACGTCGTTTCAGGCAGGGCTAATGCGGTTCGAGCGTCACATGCTAGTAGTTTGTAAGAAGTATGGTTATTGCATCGTCGGTTAGGGCATGCATCGTTTGGATATTTACGGCTTATGTTGCCTACTTTATTTAGTAAAATAAATGAATTAGACTTACATTGTGAAGTATGTATTCTTGCTAAAAGCCATCGTGCTTCGTTTCCTTCTAGTATGAATAAAAGGTATGTGCCATTTGAACTTGTGCACTCTAATGTTTGGGGGCCATCTCCAGTTGTTCTTCCTTCGGGAATTAAATGGTTTGTTACATTTGTTGATGATTGCACTCGTATGACATGGCTATATGTGTTGAAAAATAAGAGTGATGTTGGTCTCGTCTTTCGGTCTTTCTCTCAGATGATCCAGACTCAATATTCATCTGTGATTAAAGTACTACGGTTTGACAATGGTGGTGAGTACATTGCTTGTGAGTTGTCCGAGTTTCTTCGTGATCGTGGCATTCTCTATGAAACGACTTGTCCTTATACCCCGCAACAGAATGGAGTTGCTGAACGAAAAAACTGTCACATCTTAGAAACCACACGTGCTCTTCTGCTTGGAGCCTCGGTCCCTAAGATGTTTTGGCCTGAAGCTGTTACTTATGTGGTCTATGTGATTAACCGTATGCCCTCTCGGGTTCTGAACTTTCAAACACCTCTTCAAGTCCTCACTCAATATGCTCCAGTAGTGCCGACTCATACTCTCACTCCTCGAGTATTTGGGTGTGTCGCTTATGTGCATATTCAGAAAATTCATCGCACCAAGTTGGATCCGTGTGCCCTCCGGTGTGTGTTTGTGGGTTTCTCACCTCATCAAAAAGGCTACAAGTGTTATCACCCTGAGACTAAGCATATGTATGTCACCATGGATGTGACTTTTTTTGAACTAGAGTTTTTTTATCCGTCTGTGCGTTTATCTTCAGATCACCAGGGGGAGAACACTATTGGTGATCTGGAGTGGTTGGATCTAGGATAAGACACAGTTTCATGCAGCACCGAACGTGCTGTTGTACTTTTTGACCGATGTGCTGATGTTGAGGTTCAGGGTTCTGCCATGTCTGAGCAAGTATATGAAGAACATGAAACTGCCGTGTCTGAGCAGTCGAAACAAGGGTCTGCCGCACCTATCCAGCAGACTGCCGAGTGTTTTGCCGAGCCCGGTAGACAGTTGCAGCAGACACATACCGAATCTGTTAATGTGCTTTCCCCTCTCTCTAACTCCAAAGTGCCGTCCAATGAATCTTCTCTGAATACACCTGAGGTAAGTATCGTGGATGATTATGTAATTAACACAAGTGATAATGTGAATGTGTATAGGTTGCCACCAAGACAAAATCGAGGTGTGCCACCTGATAGATTCTCTCCGGAAGGAAAGGTGAAGTATCCAATAGCCAACTATGTCTCATGTGGTGGCCTTGCACTAGAACGCCAAACTTTGGTGAACAATATGGATTCAATTAAAGTACCAACTCGAGTGGAGGAAGCTCTAAAGGATCCGAAGTGGACTCAAGCAATGGATGAGGAGATGTTGGCGTTACAAAAGAACAATACATGGGAGGTGACGTGTTTACCTAAAGAAAAAAAAACCGTTGGATGTCGGTGGGTGTTTACAATCAAATACAAAGCCGATGGGTCGATAGACAGGTACAAAGCGAGGTTAATGGCTAAAGGATACACTCAAACATATGGTGTAGATTATCAAGAAACCTTTTCTCCAGTTGCCAAGATGAATACGGTACGTGTTATGATTTCTTTAGCTGCAAATATGGACTGGCCATTAAAACAGTTTGATGTGAAAAATGCTTTTCTCCATGGAAATTTGGAGGAAGAAGTGTATATGGATTTCCCTCCTGGGTATAGTGCTTATGGAAATACCGGAGTATGTCGGTTGCGTAAGTCACTCTATGGACTTAAGCAATCGCCTCGTGCATGGTTTGACAGGTTTACCCAAGTTATGAAGAAGAATGGGTACCATCAGAGTCATTCTGATCATACATTGTTTGTTAAACGGAGAAAAGGTAAAGTGACAGCCTTAATAATCTATGTAGATGACATGATTATTACTGGAGATGACCATGATGAGATTTCGCAGTTGCAGAATAATTTAGAAGCCGAGTTTGAAATGAAAAACCTAGGAAACTTGAAGTATTTCCTTGGGGTTGAAGTTGCTCGCTCTTCAAGAGGTATTTTCTTGTCGCAACGTAAGTATGTGTTGGATTTATTAAAGGAAACTGGTATGCTGGGGTGTAAGCCGGCAGACACTCCTATTGTTGAAAAGCATAATCTACATTTGGATCCAGATCAGAAGCCTGTTGATAAAGGGAGATATCAGAGACTTGTAGGGAGACTAATTTATTTGGCTCATACACGTCCAGATATTGCATATGCTGTAAGTGTGGTGAGTCAGTTTATGCATTCACCGAGTGTAGATCATATGACTGCTGTTATGCGTATCCTAGCATATTTGAAGTCTGCACCAGGAAAGGGAGTGTTGTACAGGAAGCATGGGCATTTGATAATTGAGGGGTTCACGGATGCTGATTGGGCAGGAAATGTAAGTGATAGAAGATCTACTTCCGGATACTTCACTTTTGTAGGAGGGAACTTGGTTACATGGCGGAGTAAAAAACAGAAGGTGGTATCACGGTCTTCAGCTGAAGCCGAGTATAGGGGCATGGCCCACGGCATTTGTGAAATCCTTTGGCTTCGAAAACTTCTCTGGAGTCTTGGGGTTAAGTCAAAGGAAACCATGAAGCTATATTGTGATAACAAGTCAGCAAGAGATATAGCTGATAATCCGGTGCAGCATGACAGGACAAAACATGTGGAGGTTGATCGGCATTTCATTAAAGAGAAGCTTGAGAAGAAGATTGTGTCTATAGCGTTTGTGAATTTGGAGGAACAACTTGCAGATGTTCTTACTCATGTTGTATGTAGTCGCAAGTTTGATGACTCACTTGTCAAGTTGGGCATGTGTGATATATATGCACCAACTTGAGGGGGAGTGTAGACGTGAGTCAAAGTCTAGACGGAAAAAAGGGAATGTAAATAGGGTAAATACTAGGAGTCCTTTATTAGGAAGGAAGGGTTTTGTATATATCCTGTTTTTATTTGTTTGCTTGATAGCTACGGATTATATATGTATTTAGTTCTGAAGAAGTTATAATATACAAGAAATTCCCGTACCATTCTTTTATTTGTAACTAACATTTCTCCACTTTGAAAATAAGAGCTATGTTGGTATGATTAATCAATCTTAGACTGGAATTATTAAGGAAAAAATCCTTCACCATTGCACTAACTGAATCTTTAATTGTAGAAACTTGCAGTAATACCATCAAGCCCTGGTGCCTTTAGCGCACCAATGCTTTTCACGATCTCCCAAACCTCAACGTGCTCCATAGGTTTAAGAAGCATTTCATTTTGACTATTATCAATGCAAGGGTTAATGATAATAGCACAAGAAGAAATATCAACGGGTGAAGGAGGACAATCACAAGAAAAACACAGTTTAAATTCCTGCAAAAAAACTTATTCAAGTCCTTCATCCACATTCCACCAAAACCCATTATTGTCCTTTATCCTCGTAATTTCCTCTTGCTATAGTATCGAACTTAGTTCTTCACTTATCTTAGTTTCAAGTTCCAACTCAACATCAACATTTTGGTTTCTCATATTGGTCTCTTGGATCACAACTAGTTCACCAAGGATGCATTCCTTGCGAACTTTCAAATTACCAAAAGTAGTCTTATTGCAATTCTTTACTAAGAACTTAAACGTATTTGCACACTCTAAAATTATTCATAGGATTGAAACCACCATTACATTTCCAAGCATCCTTCATAAACTCTTTGAAATCAGGATGCAACAGCCAGATCGCTTCAAATTTGAAGGAATTATTATGTCTACTACTAATGCCTGTTGAATTAGAAGTTAAGAGTATTGGTCCATTATCAGACCCAAAAATAGGATAATTATGAAGACCATAATTAGAATTTTCATTTAACCAATATGAATTAGCCAAGGCACGATCAAGTCTTTCATAATTAGAATTTTCATTTAACTGTAGGATTAAGCAATAAAATGTCCTCCCACAGACCAGATTGTAAGTGTTTTTGTGGGTATGCATACACAAAAGTGAAATAATGTTCAACATTTGAAGAAAGATAAGTAACCGCACAGTGTAAAAAACGTGAAGAGGAAGTGATAACATTAATATCCACCTTACAAGAATTCCAGAACAAGCATAATCCCCCAGTCCTACCAATATGGCTACAACTATAAAGTTTATCAAAAAACTTTCCATAAAAGTTTCCTTAGATCTTATGCACGTCCATCTTAGTTTTCATTCCAAATTCAGGTCTACCAAGACCTCTACAGTTTCACGACATAAACTTCATCAGTCAATCTCTTCAAGTAAACTCTCAACTTGAGCAAGAAGAGAGATTTTATTTAAAAATTTCAAATTTATTTAGCATGCAAAGAATAATAGTTCCAACAAAATTAACAAAAGAACTCAGTTTACCTCAAAAGTTCTTCGAGAATTGAAAATGACGCACCCAGAGTGGAAAACCGAGCTTGAACAAAACAATCTGACTTTTCCCCAACCTAATTTAACAAACCCAAGAAAAGCCCCAAATTTTTGAACACCCTATCCCTAGAACTTTAAATCAGTTTGAAAAACTCAGCAAAACAAATCAAGGGCTATAAAACAACATCAAAGATTGTAGATAAACAAATCAAAACCCGGCAATAAAGACCTAAATGGCAAAAAGAATTTGAAATAAAATTACAGTGGGAAGCAGCGGTGAGAAGACAAGATTGATGGAAAGAAATTATCAAACCCCTAGATTATCAACCCCCAAATTATCAAACTAATTAACCCGTAAATTAGCCGAATTGGGTAGAAAATTACTTGCGATGAGAAGAAGGGATTCTTCAAGGCTCAATCCCTTCTAGCCCACCAAACCGGTCCTTGTGGTCTTCATATCTGGTTTAGTAGAAAATTTGGGAAAGGAAAGGAAAATTTGGGCTGAGGATGTTGTTTATGGGTAAAAAGGGTAACTACAATGCTTTTTTTATTAGCATCCCACATAATGTTGAATACACTCCACATTAAAATTTAATATTAAATAACTTATATACCCTACTATGCAATAAGGTTCAAAAAAAAAATTCTAAATACACCTCAAATCACTTATAATGTATTATTTATCTTCTTTAATTCTCAAAACCCCTCTCACTCTTTATTGTAGAATAAATTCTAACCAATGAAACCAATAGGTTGGTTGAGAAAAAATATTTTTTACGAATGGAACACGAAATCTACATTTCAGAAACTTCACATGAGGCAAGACTCCATATTTTTCATTTTTTTTAGTGATTTCAACGACATCTCCCCATACAAAATGAGAGATTAGTCTTTCGATAGAGAGAATTTAGGGTAGGATCAGATTCGTTTTATGAACGATAAAGCTTTAGCCTTATAAGGTTATACAATTAAAACACAAACGAATGAGTGACTGACCTGATTCCAACGGCGACCATGGAAGTCGACCATAAAAGTAGCAAAGCAAGGCAAAACCAAGATCTTCTATAAACTCCTAGCCGAATACAACTACTCTATGGGAAGCATTATGTTGTGTGTTCTAGGGCCTATAGGGACCAGTGTTTTTATATATAGGCTAAAAGCTGGGTTTCCATCCATAAAGGAAACCTAAACTTTACTTTCTTAGCCTCCAAGTCAAGTATCATAATCATATTCAATTAAGGATTCCATCAATCCTATTTCTAATATAAGACACCTATATAGGATTGATATCTTTAAGAGATCAAATCACAATCAACATTATTCTCTAATATTACATTCCTATTACATGTAGTAGACCACTTAAAGGTTGATTTATATTAGATAAATCAAACATTCTCCCACTTAGTCTACAAAATGTAATATTCATGTTTATACTTGAGATTTGAGATTAATGTCACTTTAGTGGCCATGTGACAGTGATTGCATCTCGTCCTTAATGCAGCTTCTGTCAAATGCATTTCTTAACATGGAACTAACAAGGTTGTAAGATTGACACAACCCAGAACCTTCATAATCACACATGCTAAGATCCTCATTCACATGAAACACAAATTATGATTAAGAGATGAAACTTTAAATAAACTTTAAGTTAACCAAAATGTCTTACTTTATATCATCTCAGGTCCACCTTATTGTAACACACAAGTTACACTTTTACGCTTCTTCGAAACCTTAAATATGCCAATGTAGATATCCTTCATCTAATGAAACCACCATAACCTGCAGGTGTGAATACATCTCTAAAACAATCCTGCATCAGTTTCATTAGACCAATAACAATACAAACAATGTTTGTAGCCAACGAACACAACTGAAAATACCAAATAGACACATGTCCAAGTAAAATATCCCAAAAACTTCATAAAACAAATTAATTCAACACTTGTGAGCAAGATGAATCAATATGTTTTTTTGACACTGATCTATGCACCATACTACTTACTTTCATAGTGATTTCCAACACCTGTGGGCAAGATGGAAATCTTCACAACTGAGGCAGTGCACAAACCATGCCATGTCATTTAAAATGCAATTTGATAACAACTTGATATCTGATATATATTTCATCAAATAATTGACCAGCACACGAAAAATGTGACTTAATGAATCCAACTGGAGATTAAATTGAATACATGGATTTTATACATACCTTATAGGTCATCTGCAAATGTAAGACATTACTAACACAAAACTCAAACTCCCACTGATATGCAACATCATTACTTAATTTGCAAATCAATACTCAAATCATATTTTTGAAAATATGCCTCTGGGAATAGCCTTACTTGGTCAATGAATGCATATTACCTCAATGAAATGTACAACTAAGCATGAAAACATTCATCACTGTTATACAAAACATGCATCCAACAACCATCTTATATGTATTAACAAGTCCACATTCATGCTAAGTCCTTATGAGCCCCAAAACAAACGATCAACTGAGAAATCCAAATGATTGCAAGTAACAATGTATGCATATACCAAGTATCCATTCGTGCAACTTAAACATATTATGGATATTCGAGTAACCCAAATTCATGGAAGATAGAATAATGCTTTAATAGATTCATGCAAGTCCACTTAATGCTTAAATTTTTAGAACAACTCCCACTATGTTTTCAGAGTTCATGACACACCCTGACCTAGATAGAGGTATGTTGGCCGTCACGTGAAGGTGACGTAGCCATGTGCACAGTGCGGAAGCAATATTAATATATGAAATGCGAATAAACAAAAGGCAAACTAGAGCACTAGATAAGATAAGGTGCAAGACGAGAATAAGCCTAAGTGCAATCTAGCAGGATGAATACTAATTATACAATACCAAAAATGGTCCTATATTTGTGATGATCTGTCAGAACCACCGTCAATTCCTCGTGAGCCACCAACGAGCACTTTTACCTAAAACCTGGAGAGGCGCAAAATAGAAAGTGTGAGTGGGTAAAAACAAAGCTTTTCAAAACCATTTCACTTATCAAAAGTAGTAACCCCTCGCCGTAAAACCTGTATAATTCCCAGAAAATAGCATACTTGTCTATATTTCAAAATCATATTCAAAATAGCAATTCCACAAATATACCATGTCAAATCTCAGCAAGAATTAAGCAAGCTAGATGAAATAAACCAATATGAAATGGTATACCAGCTAGAGTCACCTAACGTGACCTATATGGCTGGATCTATAACTCATCAACTAGTTCTCTGCACACAAGTCGGAACCACCTAAAGTGGTATGTACGACAAGCTGGGTGTAAATAAATACGCTCAAGTGCTATGGACACGTGAAGGTGTGCGAAGTATCGTAAGTCACCTACGAGTTGGAACCACCGAAAGTGATCTGTACGATAGGCTGGCACCTGCCTTGGATCTAAGGTGAGAGTTTGCTGCGGGAGGTGAACGATCATGTGACAGCTATGCCCTGTCCTCGGACAGAGCACTAACACCGGGGTGCAGGATAATAAGCTCGAAATATATCTCAGCACTAATGTACTCACTACCATAAATATACTCACTTAAAGCTTACCTAGACGTCCACAACGTCGAGCAACAATATATATATATATATATATATATATATAACCATAATAATGCACAATTAAACATAAAGAGCATTTGACATGGCATTTCAAAGTATCAAACCATTTAATTAAGTTTTCTGGGAAAATACCAAGTGTGTGTGTATATATATATATATATACTGAAAACCAAAAGCTCACTCACTAATATGTGGAAGGGTCGTAACCCCCGAGCTCTGCTTGACTGCGCTCGTCCTCAGGATAGGTCTCACTTATATTCGAAACAACTATTTAAACGTTATTTTTAAACACATAAACAAAACTAGCTAATAACTTATCATACATTGCTCAATTGGGGTATTTGAATATACCACTGTGACCTACTCAACCCCACGAACATCCTTAAATTTTTAGAAAAAATTTTCGATGTCCCACGTGTAGGCATGTGGCTGGTACATTAACAGATTCCATAACGCAGTTAGGGAATATTCCGTTAAATATTATAATATACCGTTAAAGTTACCTAACGCTGTTAGAATATTCCGTCAACTTTGATGGAATATTCTCCTCCTTCTTCCTTGGTTCGCCGGAGTCCAGTGCCGACCACCGCTGCTATTGCCGGATTTTAGAAAAACTTTAAACTTCAGTATCTTTCTCATTTCTACACCAAATTTCACAAATTTTATACCAAAATGAAGCCCTCAACAAGTAGAACATGATCGTACCTTTCAAAGGTCCTAAAATCAACAGAAACTCACCGGAAAAATCTCATGAAAATCGGT